TGCCGGCGGTGTTGACTCAGGCCAATCTTCGTCGGAAAAAGGCGGGAACAATCAGCGCAGGCCAATTGGGCGACTGTGTTCGTACCAACACTTTCATTGTCGTGAACTCGATGATGGGCTACAAAGCCAGCTTTCGATTTGCAGCACTTGCCACATTCCTCACACGTGAACCCAACGAGTCTCTCCTGTGTACTGGTTGGAACTGGTGCGGAGGCGCCAGATGATTCGTAGTATACATTGTCGAAAGTAACCAGCACATTGAAACCAAACGGGGTGGTTGGCCCTGTCTGGAGTTGCTGAACTCTTAGCTCACCAGACAGACGTCCAGGCTACCCGGTCGGCACCATGAGGAGGTGGTTCAGCTCGGCGACTACTACTACTACTACTACAAGCTGGCTGTGTCTTCGCTTCAAATTCAGCTGATGCCCGTTGGTCTAAGTGGCGCGCTGAGTAATTTGGTGGAATTTTGGTTGCTAAGAAACAAGTGTTCATTGTTAGAACCGGAGGTGTTGTTTCAAACTCGACCCAATATGATTCACAAAATAGGAGCCGAAAATGGCTGAGAAAAATTTCTTTTGGTTAATTTCTACGGTTTCTAGAAGCTTCCGCCTAAAGCTGCCATGAGATATCTGCCAAATGTTTTAGGCATTATCTGGAGACGATGTTAGTTATGGGAAATTTTCTTCTTACTCAGAGGCCAGGGAGTAAATATGGTTATCATTTCCCGGGCTCAAACGGTAGAACCCTATCCCCCTTATTCCAGTGAACGCAGCTGGTAAAAGGGTTATGGACACAGAACCGAAGCCAAAAGGAAATGAAAAAATCTGTCCTTCACTGTCCCTGTTTAAAGATTCCTGTCTTGTAGAACATATTCGGCGTCTGAATACCCGGACAATCCTCCTGGACCTCGATGATTAGTCGAACAATTTCACTGTTTTGCTTTGCAGCTCCTCATCCCCAAAGCAGTTGGTAAAATATGTGCTTACAAGTACTTTGTAGATCTCGCTCACTCATCCCTTTGTGAAAAATATTCGAGGTAACTTTGGAATTTTTGGTCGGATTTGACAGTAAAGTCCCAGTAACGTACTGTAACCTTGTCCAGTGGCCCGGCAAAAACTTTACCTAAGGAGGAAGCAAATGTGGGAACGATAAAGTGACAAAACGTCTGCTCGTTTTCAAAATTACTCCAGAACAATGCAAAGAAATCAATAACTACTGTAACTCGGTTGTAGTTTAGGCGGTTTTTGATCTGACCGTTGGGCTTGGAAGCTTGCTTAAAGCCGTTTCGTCAGCAATTGTGGGGACTTCCCTCTTGAGCACTTGGGTAACCTCATACTCTTCAAGTGTTTGCTTTTATGTAGCTTTGTAAGCCAGCGTTTGATATTATATGTTCAGCTGACTAGGGGACAGGTCAGTCGCAGCTTCAAATGTCCTTTTAATATTTGTTCTGGTCATTATTCCTAGTACCCACTCGGTCGTGCACACTTTCCATTTTTCGGATTTGACCGTAATTAGGGTTGTGTTGCAGTCTTACTTGATGTAATTAAGCTGATCATCCTGGAACCATATATGTGTTATGAATGACCCATTTTCATGTCGCATTGAATTGGGGTTTTATGTTCGCAGATGTGGCTAGTTGTCATTTCATCTTTTCGCAGTGCCTGGTCTCTGCATTTGATCGTCTGAGCAGATGCCTTTCATTGTTTCTTGCAGTTCTTCAACTTATTATCTGAAAGCATGTTGTGGTCGGATCAACTTATCGGTCAGATTCCGACTTTCCTCTTCTCCATCCATGTTTATCCTCTAGTTTGTTGTACATTTCTTGGCCTTGTAAATATCGAGTATCCCCTTCCTCAGTAATTTGCAGTCCGGATGAACCACCAAGTGCTGGTGGTATTTTTGACGGAGCAGTGAACTTAAATGAATAAATATTTGTCCCTTATTCTCTCTTAGGTAGCATGTGATGATCTAGCGCCATTCCCGTCAAGAACCTGTCCCATCCCAACTTCCCAGAACCGAAAGAAATCTGGCCGTGTTTTTTGACAGGGAGTTTGTCTGCATGTGGTTTAGAGGAAAGTGTCGTTTATGATTACTCCACATATTGTTTATTGCAACGCGTGCACTCAATCATGCGTGCGACCAATGCTTTTATGATCTGACCCAACTTCCCCTTCGGTTTTCGTGGTATCCTCCAAAAGTGTTGTAAGAGTCTTGCAGTCAATCGAGTAACGTTTTGTACTTCCGCCAGTGTAATGCGTTTGCCTTCCTTGTGTGGTGTCCCGTTGGCCCCCGTTGCTCCTTAAAGGCATGTCCAGTTGAGAATTCCGGATAACTGTTTCCTTAAGCTACCTTGTATAGTCGATATTTTTTAATCTCATACTTGAAGGTGTCACTATATGCATGAAGAGTGTAGCCTTCCTAATGACGGTTCGTGAAGTTGCTGTTGTAGTTGTGAATGTGACTTGTATGTGTCAACTTTGTGTTGAACTCAGTTTGTATTTGGCACTCAACTAAGAAAGGCGGTTTTTCATTCTCTTTTTCTTCCACTGCAAGTAAATGCCTTTAAAAGCACTGTTTAAAAAATGGCTTATTTTCCACTGTTTGCTGTCTCCGATGATGACGCAATTGTAGTTCACGTTGGGCTTATATCGAGCGTTATAAATCATTACAACTCATTCTTCACGCTCTCTTCGACGAATCCTCAAAGTGACTACTTCATCAGCGCTTCTTTTAGTTGTCCGTACTATTTCCTGTTAAACTGAGGGTGCGTAGTGAAGCCTAAATCAAGCTATTTTCAGAGGTTTCCATTCGTTAGTAATCCGTTTAGTTGATCGAAACGTTTTTATTAATCCTCGACGGCCATCTAGTTCTTCAAAAACGATGGACATAACTCGTTCCGAAAGGCCTCCGAAAGTTTCTAAAGATTGCCTTCGTTATTCGCTGTGGACTTTGGGCGTTTCGAGTGTGTACAGGATATTGAGAGGTCACTAAAACTTCGCACCTAGAACGTAATCTGGATGCCAGCTGTTGACGGATCTTTCCTTCCATCGATTCAGAATTCAATAAATTTGCAACGCATATGAGTGCACTTTAGCACACTAGAACAAATGATATTTCGATATATACCCAGAAACCCCCCGGGGAGAAGACAGCCGGCCAGTAGCGGAAAGTCTTTTTTTTTTTTTGGGTGACCGTCACTGTTGGACGGTATCCAAGTTGAATAACATACGAGTGGTGGGTGTGTTTTAAGTTTTGTTTGTTGTGTGTATTGTTACGAATCAATCAGCTTATCTAGTTTGTTCACCATTGCTAATGGATGTCCACAGTTTGTCATGCCACATTGTCACAAGTTAGCGGAAAGTTTTTTTTTTCCTTGGGTGACCGTCACTGTTGGACGGTATCCAAGTTGAATAACATACGAGTGGTGGGTGTGTTTTAAGTTTTGTTTGTTGTGTGTATTGTTACGAATCAATCAGCTTATCTAGTTTGTTCACCATTGCTAATGGATGTCCACAGTTTGTCATGCCACATTGTCACAAGTTATTTGTTTCGAAGAAAACCGTCTAATTGGGGCTGAAAACACACATCATTAATTCATGACAATAAAGAACGTACATGAGTTGGAATACCCCATTACTGACCACGAGTGTATACAGATACATCAGTTTTAACTGCCCTATGTTATTTAGGGTTTACTTATTAGCTGCAAAACTTCACGGAGAAAACTACGGTTTCACATTTGGCAACTGACATTTGTGTGCTTATGATTTTTTTCAAATCTCTACTCTCACAGCAGAAGACTAGTGGTAAAGCGTTTTATCTCAAAACACACTTTGTGCAACCAAGCTTAGTGTAAGTCAATAAAAAAAACCATCCATAAGTTCACAAAAATGCATTCACAGGCCAGCGTATCGTATCCACAATTTGTCTGAAAAAATTCAGTATGGTGGCTGATAGCCATGTACTTGCAAACGTCGTGCACTGGCACTTCCAGCAAAATTGTCAAGTTGTTTATTGCACAGCATCAAGCAAACGAAGTGCAACACACCCACAGTAGTTAGACTGATTGTGGGATTGATCACTCTCTCCAAGGTATGTACTCGAATCAATGACAAGTTGCACGTTGAAAAAAAAACTTTTTCCAAGTGAAAAACCTAGACTTTCAAGATGTGGGCATCTGTTATTCTTAAGTTCAGCACAATATGAATTGCTCCAGTTCCAAAATCCGAAACTTTATGGCAGATCAAATCTTGTTTATTGTTGAACTAAAGTTTGGTTTGGATACGTAAAAAATTAAGGCACTTGATCTACAGGGAAAGCACCTCAGTTTTTCTTCAGATTGTGATATAATGTTGTTAAAAAGTAAATCATATGAACCGTCCTAACCAATTTATTGGTGCTTCTTTATTTAGTTACACATCCCGATCGCCGGCTGGGATGGCATTCTTCTGGAAAAGCAGCGGGTTTGTCTTTCTTCCCAAGCCACGGTTTAGAAATGTATGTTTAAGCCCTTTCATCAGTGTATCCAATCCGTCGACAAAACCGTACCCAGCACCGTATCCCAATGCACACAGCGAGGAATTTATGAGCATACAGTACAACACGACACACGCAACGAAGTACAGTGTGGTCTAAGATATGGTGGCCCAAAGAAGACAGTGGCAAACGTATACGTGTTTGATTAAGTAGGTTGCAATGGGAAACTCATATAGAAATCTGGATAGCTTTGTCATGAAGGTTTTTGAATTTCTTCAAAATGCACTCGTAAACTGAATGGCCAGATGAAATAAAAGAAAGGAAGCGTAATAAAACGACACAGTTACTTTCACATTAGCTCAATCACTAGGCTAAAAATAGCATCTTACAGATTTCGGCCTTAAATAGATTGGTTGACTGAGCTTGAAAACACCCAATCGTCACAGCCGCAAGCAAGCCACAAATAGTACCAAAAGAAGATGAACAGACATCCCACGTGCATGGATTCGAAAAACTTCACCACTAGCGGTTCAACGGAGCTGCTGCTTTGTCACGAAACTTAGGGAACCCGCTGTGGCGTTGAGTACAAATAGCCTAGCATTATACGTTGTTGGAGCAGAATAATCAGCGATTCGAGCACGTCTGTGGTGACAAGCGAATCCTCACCTCCTTTGCCTTCTAAAAACGTGTACCAAGTTAATATGCACCGCAAAAATTACATTTTGGGGACATGAATGTACAGCCTATAAAAATTAACTATGCCATTCGTGGGTACACTTTTATCATTATGTTCACAGAAAGGTATCAAATAGTAGTGTGCACAAAGCTCATGGCACCCTCTACAAGGTAAATTTGAAGAAATTAGTAGAGACTCCCAAAGATTACTTGTTTTGCTGCTAAATTAAAATAAGGGTAAGAAATTTCTTGCCCACAAAACCCACTTCTATATTTAATATATGCTTCACATGCCTTCAGTTATGCAAGAAAAATGGTTGGTTGAATGGTGAAAAAAATCTGCGGGCCAACTCTCCGTGAAACACTAGACGCCTGAGTATACAGAAGTAACATACCAAATTAAAGTAGCAAT